TCTTAGGGGTCAGAGGGGTCTTCTCCAGAACTTCCTTATTTCAAATCTAATTTAAACTTAAAAAAATTTAGATATAATTTACATACCATAAAATTCACTGCTTTAAAATCTACAATGAACTGCTTTTAGTATATTCACAAGGTTGTACAACCATCACCACTATCTAATTCCAGAATATTTTCATCACGCCCCAAAGAAACTCCACACCTCACCTTCCCCCAACCCCAAGCAACCACTAACCTATATTCTGTCTCTATAGATTTGACTGTTTTGGACATTTCATATAAATGGAATCAAACAATATAATATGGCTTCTTTCACTTAGCATAATATTTTCAAAGTTCAACCATTTTGTAGCAGAACTTCATTTTTATGGGTATACCACATTTTGTTTATCCATTCACCAGTTTATGGACTTTTGGGTTGTTTCCACTTTTTGAATATTATGAATAATGCTGATAGGCACATTTGTGTACAGTTTTTGTTTGAACACCTGTTGTCAGTTCCTTGGATATACACCTAATAATGGAATTGCTGAATCATAAGGCAATTCTATATTTAACATTTTGAGGAACTGAAAAACTGTTTTTCAAAATGGCTGTATCATTTTACATTCTTACCAACACTATATAAAGGTTCTAATTTCTCCATATCTTTGTCAACACTTGTTATTATCTGTCTTTATTATAGCCATCTTAGAGGTGGCAAGTTGGTATCTCATTGTGATTTTGATTTGTATTTCCCTAGTGACTAATGATTTGAGTATATTTTCATGTGCTCATTGGCCACTTATATATCTTCTTTGGAAAAATGTCTACTCAATCTTTTGCCCATTTTTAAATTGGGCTATTTGTTATTGATACACACATGCACACACACACACTCACATATATATTCTGATACTAAACCATTATCAGACATATGATTTGCAAGTATTTTTTTTCCCACTTCATAGATTTTCTTTTTACTTTTTTGATGGTGTCCTTTGATATACAAAAGTTTTAAATTTTGATAAAGGACAATTTGTCTGTTTTTTCTTTGAATGCTTGTAGTTCAGGTGTTATATTTAAGAAACCATTGCCTGATTTACTCCTAGGTTTTCTTCTGATTTTACAGTTTTAGCTCTTTGTACATTTAGGTCTTTGATACATTTTGAGTTAATTTCTTTATATGGTGTGAGGTAGGCGTTCACCTTCATTCTTTTGCATGTGCAAAACTAGTTTTCCCGGCAACATTTGTTGAAAAGTTTATTTTTCCTCCTAAAATATTGCCTTGGCATTCCTGTTGAAAATCAGTTGATCATAAGTATATGGGTTTATTTCTGGACATTCAGTTGTATTACATTAATCTACATTTGTTTGGCCTTATGCTTATACCACACATTCTTGATTATTGTGGCTTCGTAGTACATTTTGAAATCAGTAAGTGTGTCCTCCAACTTTGTTTTTTTATTTTCAAGATTGTTTTGATTACTCAGGGTCCACTGCAATTTTATAAAAATTTTAAGGTTAACTTTTCCCTTTCCACATATAAAAAAAGCTATTGGTATTTAGATAGGAGCATACTGAATCTGTAGATTGCTTAGGGTAGTATATTGCCATCTTTAACAATATTAAGTGTTTTAGTCTGTGAACACAAAATGTCTTTCCATTTATTTATATCTTCTTTAATTTTCTTCAGAGATGTTTTGTTAGTCTTCAGTTACAAGTCTTGTACATTTGTGGTTAAATTTATTCCTAAGTATTTTAAGGTTTTTGATGCTATTTAAATGCCATTTTTTCTTAATTTAACTTAAAACTGTTCATTGTTAGTGTGTAGAAGTATAACTGATTTTTGTGTATTGATCTAGTATCTTGCAACCTTGCTGAATTTGATTATTAGTTCTAACAGGTTTTTTTTGTAGATTCTTTAGGATTTTCTATATATAAGATCATGTCATCTGAAAATCGAGATAGTTTAATTTCTTCTTTTCCAATTTGGATGCTTTTTACTTCATTTTCTGCCCAAATCTGCTAGTTACAGCCTCCTATACAATATTGAATCAGAGTGTGAGAGTGAACATTCTTGTCTTGTTCATGATGTTAGGGGGGAAGCATCCAGTCTTTCATCATTAAGTATGATGTTAACTGTGGATTTTTGTAGATTCCTTTTATGAGGTTGAGGAAGTTCCCTTTTATTACTCATTTGTTGAGTGCTTTTATCTTGAAATGGTGTTAGAATTTGTCAAATGCTCTTTCTGCATCTATTGAGAAGATCACGTGGTTTTTGTTTTTTATTCTGTTAACATGGTGTATTACATTAATTAGTATTTACATTAAATGTTGTATTGACTTTGCATTCCTGGGATAAATCCCAGTTGGTTATGGTGTATTATGCTTTTTATATGTTGCTGGATTTGGTTTGCTAGTTTATTGTTGAAATGTTCGCACCTATATTCATTAGAGAAATTGGTCTGTAGAAATATCTTATTGCCTTGGCATCCTTTCTTTTCTTATAATATCTTTGACTTGGTATTAGGTTAGTACTGGTTTCATCAAATGCATTGGGAGGTCTTTCTTCCTATTCCATTTTTGGGAAGAGTGTTCGAAGTATTGGTGTTAACTCATTAAATGTTTGGTAGAATTAACTGGTGAAGCCATCTGTTCCAAGGCTTTTCTTTGTGGGACAGTCTTTGATTATGACTTGATCTCTTGTTATAAGTCTATTCGATTTTTCTACTTCTTTTTGGGTCAATTTTGGTAGTTTATATCTTTATAGAAATTTTTCCATTTAATCTATCATGTTTATATCTATTTATTGAAATTGCAGACACTGATGGTTAAAAATATTTGAAAAATAAAGAATTTTGATTTATTTTGAGTAAGGAGCCAAATACTTGATTTTCTTTTTACCTTAAGTAGCCTAGAAGAATCTAATGTCACTTTGATAATAAGGGATTTGAGAGTTAAATCTTCAAGAAAGCATGCAAAGTAGAAATAAAAAAATGTACCTAAATGGTATGCCTTAAGAGGAAAATTAGAAAATGGTCCAATATATGCTTTTGGGTTTATGAGTTCGAAGTGAAACCAGTCTATTAATGAATAAAACATTTTCTCCTTAATAAATATTATACACCTTTTAAAAAAATTTACTGATGGGATACCAAGGAAATAAAATTCTAGGCTGAACTCTTTTCTGAAATCTGAGCAATTCATGTTCATTGAATTAGCTTTTTTCCACCTCTCTCTTTCTTAGAAAACTGAGAAAAGTAAATGATGTGTTATGAAGTAATCCCTTCTCAAAATCCAAATTAACAGCAATAATGTTAATAATAGTCCTTTTTATATAAAAAGATTAAGGTAATTTAAATGGCAATAAATATTTAAAATGTAGGAACCGTTTTATATATTTTCATTCATTTAAGGCAAATTATTTTACCTTCTTATATATGTATGTTTGTTCTTTGGAGGGTATCTCACTGTTTCTTTTGAATCTCTCTTTCTCTGCCTTAAGATAGAGTGTTCATTTGTACCCATTTAGTTAAAAATTTTAGTATTTAAGTGAGATCAATCACCATTTTTCTTCTCTCTGTCTCTATCTTGTCCTCAGTTAGTTTTGTTCAATATGTAATTTTTTAATATTGAAAAGGAATATCTGACTTTATCTGGGATTTTGTTGTATAGAGAGTACATAGTCTCTCCTCTTACCTGGATATAGCCAGGCATTTTTTTCAATATTAAATTAGAGAGAGAGAGAGATGATAATTTGGCTTAAATGACATATAATAAATTTACTAGATAGTTGGCTGCATACTCTAATCTGTAGGTGTATGACTTGAGGTAGGAAATCAAATGTTCTCCTTACTTAAGTATGTGGTAACATATCCTGAACTTGTATAATAGCAAGGAGTTCAATGGGGCTGAAGCACCACTGCAAATGGGAAAGTAGAGATGAGGCTTTTTAGGTGTCTTAGCAAGGAGTTCAGATTTTTATTCTCTAGGAGATGGAGAACCATTGGTGGATTTTGATCAATGATGAGACATGGTCATTTGCAGGGAAACATCCTTTTGGAGCTCAGTAGAGATGGCTTTGATCATGCAAGCCTTGTCTTCTAAAGGAAGACACCCTCAATCTCATGTTGGATTTTTGAGAAAGTTGGTCACACGATCATTTTGCAAAACTTTTCCATCCAAGCTTAAAAATTGAAGTGATTCCAATGGGAATCTAGAGTGCAGTCTAGGTCATATTACCTAAACCAGGTTGGATTTAAAAAAATAAAATGTCATATCTTTGTTGTTAATAAAAACAATAAGCTTATGACTCTCTCTGAAAATTCTAGGCAATACCACATCCTTTTATTGTTTCAGTTTCTAGTACAGTTATATTAAAATTTCTCTTTTTAGAATGGTTCAGAGGAAGGGGCACCATTTAATTTGTTTTATCTTTTGCATCCTATAATGTAATAAAGAACTGTCCATATTTCACAGACCTTTTTCATTTCATCTTTATGACAATTTTTTCGTGGGTAGGTATTGCTATCCTGATTTTAAAATTAAAGCTGATGCCCAGGTTAAGCAATTTAGCCTTCAATACAGAAATAGCAGAGCCAGAATTTGAGGTCAGGTTTGTCCAACTTCAAAGTCCTTTCTTTTCAATATATCACCCTCCCTCTTGGGTAGAATTTCTATAATTACAATGCCATTTTCCTTCTGTAAACCCCTTCGCTGAATGTTTTCTTCATGTGGTCTAAAGGAATTGGGTGAATTAAAAACCCTCATATCCCTGAGTTAGGATAGCTCAGCCTTTTTGATTGTTTAGGCCATGTAGCCCCTTGTTTCCTCCATCATAACAGGGTGAGAGGAGCCAGAGGAGCTCTGCTTTCCAATGTCTTACATCACCCTGCAGACAATTGGCAGCCAGGAGTGGGGCAGCTGCTGCACTCTTCAGATAATCTCTCTATTTAAAGTTCAAAGTGACACTGGGAAACAATAGCAAAGAGGTCAGCCTGGCCCTGATCAACCTACCCAACAATAGGAAGAATGGCCGAAAAAGGTAAGATTTAAGCATGAGACTGTCTTGGTGAAAAAGACCCAGGCTCCCTGGTGCATTTTGTGTTTCCCAGTCTTTGGTATTACTCAATGATTCTGATGAATGTGGAGTTTCTGCTAAAAGAACATTAACCATATATGTTAGTATGGCTACAAAAAGTGCATTAGATGTGCAGTTTATGGACCACACATTATCAGACAATTTTGAAAGGAACAAACAAACAGAAGAGCTGAATTTGTTCACACTTGTTTTGAAAGAAGAGCTAGAAGCCAGTTATTCTCCAGTGTTGTACTAGATCTGAGGGGTTAGATTTGAGGTACGTGGCACTCTGGACCAGAATTAAGGACATCTGAGTTCTGTATTAGATCTGCTGCTAACAGCCAGGTGAGGTTGAGGCAGTCCCTCAGATGGGGTTAGTCATGTCCGATATGCTTTGTGTCTGAATTTCTTTTTTCCTGTTTTTTGTTTAATGCTAATATGACAAAATGGGCTGAATATACTGTGTCCAAGAAACAGTTTTTAATCCTGAATTCTTGCTTTTAATCCTGACAATCTCATGAAATATGCAATATTATCAGCATTCCTACTTTACAGATAAGGAAGCTGAGACCTAGCAAAATTTTGTAACTTGCCTGCAATCACGCACGTAGAGAGTGGTTGCACCATGTTTTGACTTGGACAGTGTTGCTCCAGAGACAGCGACCTTAAGAATACTCCCAGGTGTAACTACTTGGGTGTACTCAGGCCTGACAGAGAAAGATGCATTTTGAAATTGCTCTTTATATTTAAAAAGAGGTTTTGTGCTTATTTGTGCCATGTTGAGTTCCTGTACTCCTATTTCAAAGCAATGGGACAGATTTTGGTAAAACTGAAAATATTTGTGTTAAAAGAACACAAACGCAGTTATACTTTGAGTGTTAAATTGCACAATCAATTTTATTGGTTTTTAAGGAATAATAAATAATGATATATATATATATATTAAGGCTTTATTATATGTGTATTTTAGAGTTATATTAAAATAAGCTTGTATAAAATATTTATAATGCTCAATTAAAATATCAACATTAATTTTTAAGTTCTTTGAAAGTGGAAAAAATACTAAATCACATATATGAACAGCTCAGAAAATTACTATTATGTAATTCCACTGTAATGGCACCTTAATTCATAGAGAGGCTTTCATCCAAATGAGAGTAAAGGGTATGTCATTATGTTCACTTTATCCTTAAAGCAATACCACAGGGCAGGTAAAGAGAAAAGTTTTTCATTCAGTGCTTAATGCTTTGTCCAAGGTCACAGCAAGGTGGAGAAGCAAAGAGAGTCTAATTAATGTTTTAAAATTGAGAGACTCCAACATTTCTGGAAACATAGATTTAAACTATTAATATTTATTTTGACTTCAGAAATTTCGCTTTTATAAGTATGCCGTTTAATTTTAGAAGTGTCTTTAGAAGTTTCCAGATGATTGTATTTTAAAAACTTCACATTTTAAAGGGATGAAAATTGTAATAGAAATGCAGTTGCTAAGACTGTGCATCCCCTTTGTTAGCTGATGGCATAAGATCTAACTGTGCTTTTCAATTAAGCCTATATCTGAGTCCTTAACCCAGGACATTAATTCTATATGGTGTCTTTCTGTGCTGTGTTTGAATTCTTTTGTGTGATAGATGTGTGTTTGAAAGAATAAGATTGGGATGCAGTGAATATTTTTAGAAAAGATACTTTTAAATTTGCTTTTTCCAGGTCAGGGTACAAATAGGAGACACAGGGTACAAATAGGAGACACAGGAGGAATTATTACACTAATGTCTTTTATGTGTGGTCGGGTCAGTGTTGATTGCTATATCGAACAGTTAAAAATAGAATCTTTCTTCTTTGGTTGAGAATGATTATATAAAATACAATGCTTTCTTTTTCCTATGACATTTAAGAGTAAAGTTAGCTATCAAGGCCAAGAACAATTTCAACACCTTTCCCTATGTTATGATTATTATTTAGTTTAGAGTCATTTTCAATTGTTTGTATGTAAACAGCTGCTCTTTGTGTTATTGGACACGCACGTGAATGTGTGCAGTCTACGCTAAACACACACATGGGGGACTGAGCTTACAAAGCCTTTGCACACATACGATATCATTTTAAAAAATGCTTTTATTGATTTTAGAGAGAGTGGAAGGGAGAGGAATAGACAGAAACATCAATGAGAGAAAAACATTGATCAGCTGCTGCCTCGTGCATGCCCCCTCCTGGAATTCGAGCCCACAACCTGGGCATGTGCCCTGACTGAGAATCGAACCAGTGACCTCTTGGTTCATGGGTTGACACTCAACCACTGAGCTGCACCAGCCGGGCCATATGCCATATCATTTGATCCTTGCAACAATTTCAGGAGATAGATATCACAAGTTTCATTATCCATATTTTACAAGTAGAGAAGTTCAAGCTCAGAATGGCCCACGGTCACATAATATAAAAGGAATACCTATGATCTGAACACAGGCCTTCTATTCCAAATACCCAGCTGAGTCCCATGTGCCTTTTGTAGAAAAATAAAACTAATAGTCATGTGTGGGTATGACTAGAGAGTATATTTTTCCCTTGAGATTACCAGATCCCTCTCATTCTCTTGATTCAGAAGACAGAATGCCAAAATGACCTATGGAATGTTTTGTTTTTGTTTACTTTTAAGCAGAATCTACATCATCACACGTTCTGGTCCCTATTCTTCTCTTGATTGGCTGGATTGTGGGCTGTATCATAATGGTTTACGTTGTCTTCTCTTAGAAAGGTAACATTTTCAGTGATTGAATATGTTTATTCATAAAGAGCATGCACTAGTCCAGAAATACTCTTTTCTGTTTTACTAACAAAACATTTTACCACGCAGGCAAGAAGACTTCAGATTGACATCATTTAGAAGGACGAAGAAAAAAATGAACATGACAGATTATTAAATGTGTCTCATGTAGATATCTGCATTGTTTGACATCACTTTATAAACTTGGATTTGTAAACTGACACTTTGGTTACATGAGAATCTCTTCAGGAACTTGTTTAAAATTTGGAGAACAAATAAGAACTAACTATAAGAAAGCATGGGTGGATTTTTCTGTAAACTGGGACTAGGAGCAATGTTCCTATGACTAAAAATACATAAGCAATAGGAAAAAGTTTGGTAGACTAAATTACAATTGAATTATTTTTGCCCCCCCCCAAATAGAAAAACATGAGCTAGAGATAAAAAGGAATAGTTTACAGAAAACAAAATACAAATGTAAACCTGGACCTTAAGCTCTTGTTCATAGTAAAAGAACTGTAATTAAAACTGTACTGAAGAACCATTGCTCACCTATCAGATGGGAAAAAATAAAGACATTTGACAATATATGTGTTGGTCAGGCTGTGGTGAAAGAAGCACTATCGAATACTATCTTTAGGAATTCAAAATAGTACATGTTAAGGGGTGTTTGGTAATCAGTATCTACCAAAATTACAATTACATATGTATTTAAACTCTTTTTTTTATTGATTTTAGAAAGTAAGAGAGAGGAAGGGAGATGGAAGGAAGAAGGAGGGAAGGGGAGAGAGAGAGAGAAAGAGAGAGAGGAGAGAGAGATTTTGTTGTTCACTTATTTATGCATTCATTGGTTGCTTCTTGTATGTGCCCTGACCAGAGATCAAACCTGCAGCCTTGGTATATAAGGACAATGCTCTAACCAATTGAGCTACCTAGCCAGGGCCCAAAATTTCATGTGTATTTAACTTTTGACATAGCTATCCCTCTTCTAAGAATATTGCAATTTCCATAGATACTCTGGTAAAATACAAAATGGCATGGATACAATTCTATTCACTATGGCATAATTTGTTATAGCAAAATTCTAGAAATAAGCCAAATTTCCATCAATAGGGGGCTGAATGAAAAAACTATGGTCTATCTACAAAATGTGGTATTTAACACAGCTCTAAAAGGAATAAAAAGGGTCTCTATATCCTGATGTGATGTCATCTCCAGGTCAAAGTGTTACGTGAAAAAAAAACACAGGTACAGAACAATGTATGCTACCTTTTGTGTCAAAAAAGAAAAGGCTATAAAGATTTGTGCACATACTTACCTTAAAATATTGAAATTAAAGAGCCACAATGGAGGCCATCTCTGAGTGTACCTTATTTTATAGTTTTTATTATTTGAATCATGTAAGTATCTTATAAGTTAAAAAGAAAAAGACAGAAAAAGGAAAAAGGTCAGCCCCCCAATTTAAAACAAACTGAACCAAATAAACCTAATAGTATATCAAATTGGTGGCATAACTACACAGAGAAAAAATTCTTTCAAGTGACTTTAAAACACAGTATTTCTGACTGCACATCTCTTATGGGATAGAAGTTTTAACCACATTCAGTAGTCTTTTTGTTAGTAGTAATATTGGTATTGTTAGTTTCAAATTTATATCATCAGCAACAAGAAGCCAAATAAATACCTGGTAATCTTACATTTGAATTGCAAATAGCAGTATGAACCCATACTTAATTTTTCTTCATCTAGAAATAAAAGTGTACCTTAGCTCCACCCACTGAAAAAGCCTAATAGGGATGAGCACCCTCACACCTTCATTGTGATCTCTAAATACCAGAGTCCACTCAAAGGACCCAGAATCCCTGCCCTAGTCAGGAGCAAGGAATGTGCAAGATGAGTCTGGGACATGTTCTTTGTTCCAGAAATCAAAGAAACTATTAAAGGCTTCTTTAGACAAAGATGTGATAATTTGAACATCAAAAAAGTACAATAGTGTCCTGCCCCTTGTGACTTGGTTGAGTGTTGTCCTGTGCACCATAGGTCACCAGTTCAATTCCCAGTCAGGGCACATGCCTGGGCGGTGGGCTCGATCCCCCACAGGATGCGTTAATGAGGCAGCTGATCAACATTTCTCTCTCACATTGATGTCTTTCTCTCTCTCTCCCTATCCCTTCCTCTTTCTCTAAAATCAATAAAAAAAACCCACATTTAAAAAAAGTATGATGGTTGCAAAGGATCAAAATGAATCAAATATATAAATACCCATGAATCCATAATAATAATAAAAAATAAAAGTAACAAACAAAACCCTGATTTTTACATTTGGAGTTTGCTAAGGAAGCAACTTATTGTAAAATTGGTACGTAAAGGAAAATAATCTTGCTTTTCTTGAATAAACTACTTCCAGATAACCAAATAAATTTTGAAATTCCCTCTTTATAAGAGTATTCTACCTAAAATACATAGGAGAGATAAATAGAAATTGTTATTTTGCAAACCTTAATGAAATAATAAGGCTTGGCAACGATCATTAATGGATGCTAGAACAATTAGGTTAATTGTTGATGGGGGACTTTTATACTTAGTTGATGAATTTAGTGAGACCTGAACCCACTGATCAACTTAACATTGTTGAAAGTGGAATAAGCAGGCATGGTGAGCTTCCTGACAGGGAAGAGCAGACATTGCACAGTGCCACCTGGGAAGTATTCTTGCCAAAACAAGTGAACCTGAATAAAATAAGTTTCTCGATCTATCTACCAGGTTTCTCTAAACAAAATCACAAGGACACCTTCAGCCAAGTCCACAGAGTGGAAAATTACAAAAAATACATGACACAGATTCTCAACAAATACCTAGCATTAAGAAGTGAAATGTGGCTCAGTTGGTTGGGTGTCCTCCCATGCGCTGAAGGTTGCTGGTTCAATTCCCCAGCAGGGCACATGCCTGGGTGGGGGCTTGATACCAGGTAGGGGACACACAGGAGGCGGCCGATCAATGTTTCACTCACATCGATGTTTCTCTCTCATATCGATGTCTCTCTCTCATATCGATGTTTGTCTCCCTCTCCCTTCCTCTCACTAAAAATCAATTAAAAATCTTTTAAAAAAAGAAGTGAAATGGGGAGGGAGAAACTATTACAAATTAAAAGAGATTTAAAAGGATAGCAAACAACTGCAGTGTATGGACCAACTCCAGAAACCACTTTTGTATTTCTGTAGTAGAGATGTTAAGAAATTGTTATTAATTTTGTGCATTTTAATAATGGCAATTGGCAATGGAAAAGAAAAGGCTCTTATCTGTTAGAGATATACACTGAAATATTTACTGATGAAATGATATGACATGTAGGAATTGCCTTAAAGTATTCCCATAAAAAAAGAAACTTAAAAAATAAAAAGGGATATGAAATAAGACAGGCAAAATGAGAATATTTATTTAAACTGAGTGATAATTCTACAAAGATTTATTACACCCTTTTTTTCCCCTACCCTTGTACATATTTAAAATTTTTATGAGAAGTCTCTTTCTTCCTCCCAATGGCTCTGAGTTGTGAATTACAAATAATACAGGCAGAGTTAGAAAACAAGATTGTGGCAACCTATGTCTTATGTTGGTCAGAACAACTTCCTTTCATCTGGAGTATTTTTCTCCACATGCACAGGTCCTTTTCTGTAGCTCTTTGAAGCTACAGGATCCCTTATTTCTTGTTCAAATGTGTGCTCAATGTTTCCCTGGAACACAAAACGTTCCAATGTTCCCATAAATCTTTACCTTCTACCTCTGACAAAGACTTTTCTATTTCAAGGACTCAATATTCTTTTCTCTAGCACTTTAAAAGAGACCATAACTTTGTTTTTAAGCAGCAATAGAAATGAATTCTTCTATAAGTATTTTAATTCCATGTTTCCACATCCAACCTGGTCATTTTCTCAGAGAACAAAGGAAGCTTAGTGCAGTATAAAGAACAAAAGTTTGGGAAGTCAGATTGTTTTATCCTAACTTGGGAGTCCTTTGAATAGTGAATTAATCTCTCTAAACTTAATTTCCTCAATTGTAAAGGATGAATAATAATATTTTCATGGGATTGCTGTGAGGTTCATAATGTTTTCTAAACCTACATGATCTGAATCAACTGAGTTGTTATAAATGCAGGTTCTGCAACTCTTTCTCTAGAGAGTTCATTTCAATAGGTTTGAAGAAGGCCTATTAAAAAATCAATCCTCTGGGTGATTTTACTATCATAGAAGTTTGGAAAACACATTTATAATTGTGTGTGTGTGCACGTGTGCACTCGTGTGTGTGCATTACTCATTGATACACATAGACACTGATCTACGACAGCTTATATTGGTGGGTTCCAACCACTTTTCTGTTTATTGTTGCAACAAAAAATTAGTACTTTATTATGTTTGTTATATAATATTATACTATATTTTAATTACACAAAGTATAATGATATATAATAATATTTGGCCAATAATATTTTCATGTATGTGAGTTTTATTTTCCCCATTAACTTTTAAGCTCTTTATGGGTGAATCCACTTATCTTTCTGACTTGTAGAATACAGTCCAAAATAGACAACTATAAATGTATGTATCAATAGGTGATTAATTATCTCCTCTTACCATATTCTTGAATACACAATGCTGATGTTCTAACTTTGAACTTTAAAGATGTCACTGGAGCAATTTAAGATGGACTGGAATTCTCAAAGAAGTGATTAGTCATCTGTGAGCAATAGTTTCAAGTAGGTGATTTCTTACAGACTTTACAAGACATAGAATCTTATTTGTTTTTAAATTTACTAAATCTTCAGCTGACATTCTATCAAAGTGCAGATATAATTATCTGAGTAGATTATGAGCTGTTTCTTAAATTTTTTTCATTGCATAATACCCAGCTTTACATCATCACAACACCCACACTCTATGTCCCTGCCCACCCAAAACATATACTTGTGTCAGAACTGAGAAATATTACTTTCTCTATACTCTGTATTAGGACATAAAATACAAAACCTCTTGAAGGAGGCTTTTTATTACTACTCTCTATGTCTCGGAAAAGAGATAAAATCCAATGAGATTTGGAATGACTAAGGCAGCTCCTCATGAGGTACCAAGCCTGGTGGAGCTGAGAAAATTCCCTAGAGGAGACATCCCTGTGCACAGTAAGCAGAAGTAATGTTTTCAAGGAAGATCTAGCCATAGATCTTGAAATAGCATAAATCTTACATTTTCTTTCATTTTTTGAGAACATTATTTCTTGTTTCTATGTACTCAAAGCCCTTATTTTTGCTTATTGCTATTTCTCAGACATCCCCTTCCCCTTTTTCTTTTCTTTTTTGGACAAGCAGAGAAATTTCACTTAAAACATAAATATACATGAGCCTAAGATTTCTTTAGAGGAAAGAAAAGAACACTACAAGCAGAAGACTAATATTGTGAGTTGGTAATTTCTTAGAGAATGAGATGCTTGAATGTTTCACTTTCATTCCAGTCTCTTTCTAAAATGATTTCTTGGTTTGCAAAAGGGAGATGGGTATGTAATTCCTTATAAATGATCTGAACCAATCATGGGTGGGC